CACTTGATTGTAGTTAGGTCCATAATTATATCAGATACTATTATCAATAAATCAATTATATGGAATGTATGGAATGATTGTAATGTCAACATGTCCATATGGCAGGGTTAATCTGAATTTGACCTCATTTTCAAGGTTCATTGGTCTATGCTTGGTTTTTGTGGTAAGTAGGGTTTCTCAGATACTATAATCAGTAGGTCAAGTATATTTAGTGTATGTAATGACTGTTTGATATGCATGTTTTCTAGCTGGATTTATCTGACCTTGACATCATTTTCATGATTCTTTGGTCAATGTTTAGTTTTTTTGTGATAAGGTCCTTTTCTGATGCAGTAAAAGCAAAAGGTTAGTTAAATTTTGTGTATGGAATGATTGTCTGGCGTATTTGTCTGTTTGAGAGGGTTCATCTGACCTTGAACTCAGACTTTCCTTGTTCTTTGGTCTAAGTTAAAGTTTTCAAGGTAAGGTCAATTTTCCAGATACATGTACTTTAAGCAATATATTACCGATAGTTGGTGTATGGAATGAATTTTAGGGTACATGTTAGTCTGGCAGAATTCATCTGATTTTGACCTCATTTACATGGAACATCAATGGGGTTTAGTTTAAGTGATACTTGTATTGAAACTTTTATCCTAAAGATGTCTGCATAAATTCAATCATGATCAATAAACCAGGCGAGACATTGCAGCATGAGCACTTGTGTTGTTAAGGTAGGTTTTTGTCAATCCAGAATTTTCTGTAAAGTCATTTTTGGGCTGTTGGTTTTTAGTCTTTATTTCTTTTGACCATAATGTATTTAGACTATTTCTCCATTTGTTGTATCTTATTGCTCCCTTAATATCTTCTTACTTGTTCCTGTATGGCCTTGACTTGTGATCTTGTGGTCAAATATTTGATTTTGGGGGACTTTTTGTTCTACAGGCCATATCTTTTTTATCCTTTGACTAGGCTTGATGTTTGGAATGTGTGGGGATTACTCAGGATGCATTTAATCTCACGACGATGTTTTGCATGACATTGTAGATGACCTCTGTCGTCTGATCTCTCTATCTTTGACCTCAAGATCAAATAATTGTATAGGGAACATTTTTGTGTCCAGGCCACAGTTTACTTATCCCTTGACTTAGGCTTTTGATAGTTGGCATGTGGAAACATCATCTCAAGACAATTTGTCACATACCATCACATATGAGTGCTGACCTTGAACTTTGACCTCAAGCACAAATAATTGATTTGATGGATTAAAAATGGGCTGTCACTTTTGAATTTAATAGTTTTTGATATTTGGCATGTTAGTACATCATCTCAAGCTTAAATATTTGATTTGTTGGAGACATTTTCATCTTCTGCATCATTTTAAGTTGAATTGGCTTATGAAATTTGACACATGCAACATCTTGAAACGGTGTGTCTTGTACAATTTTATATGTGATTTTAATATAAGAATGTTGTACTTGTTCCTGTTCTTTGCAGAAGTGACTTCTATAGATGAAGGGGAGAAAAATTGATAAGCCCACTTAAACAGTTTCCCCTAGGTTGACCACAGAGGTAGTTCAAAAAACTATATGATTGCCAATTTGCTGAAAGTAAACTATTTGTTTTTGTTGATTATCAATGTTGAGGTAGTCTTTGATGCGTAAGTGGATTATTTTTGGTTTGGAAAAAGGTAAACAAGTCATTCTTAACATTTATATGGTTCATTGATTCATGTACCCTGGTCTGTGTTCTTGATAGATTTTCAATTGCTCTATGTGATAAGTTTATTTTATTTTATCTGTTATTTAAATGAAACACGTAAATTTGTTTTTTGGGGATGTTACAGACCAGTGACTTTGTTTTGAAAGTCTAGTAGTAATAGTGGTACACATCAAGTTTTAAAAGTTGGAACCAAACTAAGATAATAGGTTACATATAAGTATTGATTACTGTAAATTTCAGAAATTTTTGCGAGATTTTTATGAATGTGAATAATGCGACTGGATGAGTATCTCAATAATAAGAAGTCACATTCTGATAACTGAAACATAGATCTATAGTCACATTTTTTTTTAATCGTAATAATTAAACTCATATTTTTGTCCATTTTTGACAAATCCCAATAATAAATTCACGCAATAATTTCTGAATTTACAATATCAGGTTTTCTATCCATTGATATTGTAAAATATAACCCTCAAGCCACAATGTGAACCTTTCTGGCAATGAGCACAGCGAATGAACAAGCAAAAAAGCTTCACATTATGTCAAGCAGTTGATATTTTTGTCCCGCCTTGACGGAGTCAAAAAGCGAGACATAGGTATGCTGTTTCCGGTTAATGTTTGTGTTTAAGTTTGTTTAAAGGGAACGACTTATAATAAGTCAATGGTATGTGGTATGCAGTTGTATTAGCATTGGCACATCTCATTCCATGGAGATTGTTTAGCCATGTACCTTAATCAATCATGGTTCATCGACTTTGAATATTTGCATAACTTATATGTTAAAGTATTGCTATTTCAATTTCAACATTTGCATTATCAAAATTACAAAAAGGCGAGACATATCTCTGTGATAACAGTTTATACAATTTATATATGTAGAAAACCCGATAATATGTTTATTGTTCTATTACTGTTATTTTCCCCCTCCTTTACACTATTTTGTGCTTGATAACTTCTCCTCAGACATTGTGATGACCTTGTTGATAACTTCTCCTTAGACATTGTGATGTACTCATGTCTCAAAGCTATGATACAAGAATTACTGAGTGACTGAGCAGAGTGATAGACAAGAAGGGAAGGATGATAATGAGTGAAATATTCCTATTCATTGTGCGATAAATGTGTCCATGGTCAAGGTCTTAGTTACCAAAAAATATACTGATATTAGTGCAGAAAAGTATTTTCCAGATGATAACCCAAAAATCTTATATGGATTGGAACCAAACTTGCATATACAAACAAATATAATTAAAGGATGATCCATATAAATTCTTACATCAATACATCAAGGTTGTAATTAGTAATTATAAACCAAACACAACCTGGATATATGATCACATATAAAGATAGGAAGATCTTAATTTTATAGCTCAATTAATTCAAGGCCTAGATCACAGTAACTGTAAATTGACTGAAATTTGTGAACAATAAGGATGTCACCATACAATGACAGATCTCTGTTCAAATAACAATAATTCCATGCCTTTGTAACAGTAGAGTATGATTCTTATTACAAAATCACATTGTCTCCTCCGGGACTTGAATTGGCTAAAGGTTTAGTTTAAGGTGATTAATCACGAAGTTTTGGTCACACCATCTGTAAACTTGGTTAACATGTTAATTTTGGTGTGAACTTAAAGATATATGCCAATTTGATGTTTTGATCCTGATTTTGTGGTTCACTGAACATGGAAATGTGATCATAAACCACCAATTAAAATCTGTATTCAATTATTGAAACTATGTTACCTAGATTTAGTGTATCTGAAGTTTCTATTTCTTTAAGCCAACAATACCTAATGACAAAATTGGTTTAAAGACAAACTATGCATTGTTTATCGGTTGTAATTACAGTAACCCTTGCTCTCCTATAGAAATTTTGTTTGTAATAATACCAATAAACATTTTATGTGAAATTTAGAATAAACAAACATGAGATAGGGTATAGTTTTAATTGTTAAAAATGGGGAATAAATCCTCAACAAGGAAACAGAGGTCTTCTACAAAATTGAAAAAAGTAGGGTCTGAAAAAGCTTCCAAACATCGTAAAAGATTAAGAAAATCAGTCAGCTTTAAGGTAAGAATTATCAATGGTTGAAAAAAATCACAAATTTTTATCTAACGGCATTTAATCTTTGATGAAGGTCAGAGTACCATATTGTACTGTACGTCTTAATAACTTTGAATTGTCATTTGCAACTTTTTTTAAGCCCAATTATATGTTATTTTGCCTTTTTGTACAAGGTTACATATTTTGTTATATATTTTTCCTATCTTAAGATTTTTTATTATGATAATTTGTCGTCAGTAACTACAAGGTAAGTAAATTAGTTATATATCAGCAAACACTGTTTCTTAAAACAGTGCTTTGGTACTGACCCAGACTTGTTTAAATGGTACATTTTTTTCCTGTAAAAAGCAAGTTTTCTCAGGCAAAGTTAACCTTAAATGGTTTTGCAGAAATTTTGTTATTTGTATAAAAAAAAATAAGGTAATTATTCCTTCAGGCAAAGCTGAGGTGAAATGGTTTTGGTAGTTCTGTTTTGGGTTTTTTGCCCTATATGTTCTTTTAATCCACTCGACTCCAATCTCAATTGACTAGTATTGTCAGTTTTCCTACCGAAGGTCAGTGGTTCTCTATCCGGGCACTCCGGCTTCCTTCACCAATAAAATCTGACCACCACAAAATAGCACAATAGTGACCAAAGTGGCGTTAAACACCAATCAATCAATCAATCAATTTTTTAATCCATTTGTAATTTTTCTTGGAAAATCATGGTTACTGAAAACAGAAATGTCCCAGTCAGTTTTATTTTTCAGCGAGATAACATATCCATGAAAATTATAGCGTGTGAAAGCAAACACCTGTAAAGCAATTTGCAAAACAAATATGAAAAATTTAAGTTAAAAATAGTAGAAATAGTGATCTTATAAGCAAATCAGAGAAATGATGTGATGAAAATTTACAAGTACAGTATTACTTTTATTTGATAGAAGCGCCAATCATCATTACCTGTTTTATACTTGACCTTTGTCTAAAAAATATTGGCGTTAGTGTGTGTTTGTGAAAAAATTGCCCAAAAAATTAACCTAAAACCTGTTGGCTGCTCTATGGTCGGGTTTTTGTCTCTTTGACACATTCCCCATTTCCATTCTCAATTTTATTTTAGTCAAACATGGGAAATTTATAAAGCAGAATGGGAATGCTTTCATGTCCTTTCTATTCAAATTGTTATGAGAAAAAATTTCTTACAAAAGTGGCTTTGTAAATTCAGAACATTCTTTTCTTCCTTTAGAATCGATTACAAGATGTTCTACAGAAATGGCAGGATTACAAGGATCTACTGGACAACGACATGCAATTCCTTACTGGAGAATTCACACAATGGATGGCTGACTGTGATAGAGATGTGCCAGATAATTTACCAGAAGCACAAAGAAAACTTGAAAACATAAAGGTGAGTTCTTATAAAAATTACAAACTCAGATTCATGCAGATATATGACTTCAATATTTAACTTATGTGCAACCTTTAGGCTTTAACTGATGATATTATGCTTATTGGTGAGAAAGAATTTCTTTGTGTCATTGGGTAGCTGTCTCATTGATGTATGTTTTGATAATTTTTTTTCTTAAATTTCGGGAATTATTGATTGGTCAAACATTTTGGGCATTGTTTATTTGACCTTTTTATACCCATCATTTGTTGCTATAGCCCTTCTTAGCCTGGTTATATCATTTGTCTATTTGTTCATCTGAAGTCGGTTTCACAAAAAAAACTTATGATTAAGATTGGTTGTAAGTCATGAACAAATCAGTATACTTACGAACAATCTTACTAGTAAGTTTTTTTGGAAACCGTCTCTTGTACATACATTGCATCTACAACTCCTTAACCTTTAAGGGTACTGTAAACCAACTTATTTTTGCGGATACTTTATTTCGCGTTTAACCCTTTCTAGTCCACTTCGCGGCTATTTAATTTCATGATTTTCTAATTTACTTGATGTAGTTAAATAAAGAAAGATCCAAGTTTTACATATTCGCGACGTTTTATATTCGCATTATTTTTCTACTCGAGAAAGTCACGAAAATATAAAGTTGGTTTACAGTATTTCAAAGAAAATATTTTGTGCCTTAAACTTTTTAATTCAAATGATTTTAAGGGTTTCCCAAGGTAAAACAAAGACTATGCAATATCTAAAAAAAAATGATGAAAGAGTAAGAATTTGTGAGCTAAGCTTCTTGCTGTAATAGACATTTTAAAATTCACTGTTTTTATCAAGGCTATGTGGGAGAGGATGTCTGGTATGAGACAAGAACTGACCAATGCAGCTCACCGATGTGAGAATCTTGGTGGAAGTATGGAGAACCTAAGTGAAGAGGATGCCCAACAGGAATCTAATGTCAACCAACAGGCTGAGAAAGTTGAGGACAAGTTCAAAGAGGCAAATGCTGAGGTAGGCATTGTAGAGTTATCATATTTAATACAGTGAAACCTGTCTAATCTGAAACTCCTTGGGTTTTAATATTTTGTTCATATTAGACAGGTGTTATGTATAAATTTACTAGTACTGGATAATATTCTCTGTATGTCCTGATAGACGAGTTTAATTTTCACTGGTTTCCAGTTTGGTCATGGTTCCATTTAGACAGATTTCTCTGTACATGTATGTGCACACTAATACATTAGATACTCCTGTGATATCTATTTGACCTGAGTTAGTTTTCATTGTAGAAGACCATGTGGTTACCTTAAGTTTTTCACTCGACCTCACTTTATGTATTTTTGATAATTTTTATATATGAATCTACCAATATTTTCAGTAGAAGGCCTTAAACCTTGTAATTTTTTCTCAAAATTATAAATTGGATACCTAGAATTATAAATTTTTTTTTTTACAGCTTGAGAAGAGAATGGATTCAGTTCGAGACACCATTCACCAGTGGGAACTGGTTGACAGAATGCGTGGAGACTTACGTAACTGGTTACATAGCAAACAGGAAGAATTCCAAGAAATGGAAGAAAAGCCCGCCAAACTTCATGCTGAAGCTGCTGAAATTGAGATAGCCAACCTACAGGTATGTGTATAGTGTGTGTGATATGTAGAATAGCAACTGTTTTTTAGCAACTTTTTGCATAATTCTTTTTTTCGCTCACTAAATAAGAAATTAGAATTTATGAATTTCAAAGATAAAAATTCACTCTTTTCTTTTTTATATGATAAAAAATTTATGATAGAAAATTCACTCATTCTTTTTATAGGATAGAAAATTCACTCTCCTAATTTCATTCTCTTAGAAGTTTAAGAGTCCTTAGTTTTGTCTACAGAATGTTAAAAATATGGTTGTTTTTTTCCTAAGCAAGGACATATATGCAAAAATAAACTTGACATATCACGCTCCCATTGAGACATTCATTTAACATTTGTATCCCTTTCTTGGTTATATTTTCTACATAGATAGTTTGTAAAGCTTTTTTTATATTTTTTATGTAGTTAGAGTTATCTCTCTTTGTTAAATAACATACATTATGAAGTTTAAAAATGATTTATTCATTTTAAAAAAAAATCTTGTGAGATTGAGAATTTACAAGTTGAAATTGACATATTCTAATTTACTCTGGATTAAATGTGTAAGAATGCTACTTTAATTACTTGTAATAAGTATTTTGTTAAATGTACCTTGTGTACATCAGAGAAGAAAAGGTGTATAACTTGCACCCCTACATGTTTACGAAATAAATAGTTTCAATCCAAAGTTTTTACTTTAATTTTACCATGTAAGTAAGAAATCAAAGATGTATACTATTTTAAAAAGGTACTAAAATTTGAAGCTGCTATGGTTAAAATTAGCAAGAAATCTTTTTATTAAATTGAATTTAAACATATTCTATTGTTGAAAAAAACTTTTTATAAATTGATCAAACACAAGTTTGAAAGTCATTGTAAAGATTGCTGAAATCTTTTACATACAGCTCAGGTTAGTTTTAATTATTTTTAAATGAAAAAGATAATGCTGAAATATTTTCTGTAAAATTTGATTATTAGCTGTTTAATTTTAACCAAGATATATTCAAGAAGTAAAAATATTATTTTTAGAGTGAATATTTTGTGATTATTTAAAATATTTGTTCACAAGAAATGCTATATAATAAGGACCTCAGGCAGTTGTATTAAAAATTAAACAAATATTTAAAGTTATATTCAATAAATACAGTAATATGTTTATTTAAAAATTGGGAAAGCACAACATATTGATATTTTTAAGTCTGTTTGGTTTTGATGGGAATCAATTTATTATTGAATATTATTTCAATTAGAAAAACAGGTACTAAAACCCAAATTCATTATAGAAAAAAAAAGGTTTAAAAACTCACATGGTTTAATTATTTTATTCATATGAAATATGCAAGAGCTATTTTGTCATTCTGTACAAAGTTTTTAGGTGCTCTGGTTTTTTTCAGAGTTTCCACACCATTGAAAACATAAGCTAAACAAAAATTGAATGAATTATTCAAGTTTTTCCTGCTGTTCCAAACTGCAAAATAATCCATAATTCCACAAAATGAAATTGAAAGAATAATTACCAGTAATTGCAATTGTGAAGTTAAATTCCACAAAATGAAATTGAAAGAATAATTACCATTACTTGCAATTGTGACGTAACAATTTTACCCGCAGTTCTATAATTATGATCTCTGAATTGCAGAATATTAGATAATGCACAAGGATTTATTACTAAACTAGGTAGAAATTAATTTCCTATTCATCTAATTTTCAAAATTTGAAAGACAGAAAAGTGGAAACATTCCTTTTTTTAACCAGAGACAGAGAAATGTTATCGAAGCCCCCAAAGGTGCAAAAAGTTTTTCTACAATGTTTTAAATGCAACTAAAGCCTCAAAATGGCTTTATCCTGTCCTTTTTGTTTTTTTTCTTCTTATAAATGATACCACACTATGAAGTAAACCATTTATTTATAGGCTCTGAGAGAGGAGGTACAAGCAAAAGGCCCAGCCATTGATAGTTTTCTGAACAAATACAGAGACCTGACTCAACATAATCCATCCCTTGTGGACCCTGTAATGAGAGCTGTGAGAGAGGACTGGGAAGAACTCCTTGGTCAAATAGAGAACCTACTTGAGGACCGTGAGAACAACCTCCAGGCCAGCAGAGAGTTACAAGAGGCCCAAAACACAATGGACGATGACCTTGAGAACTATGTCAAGGAACTGGAAAGGATTGAGAAAGAAGATGTAGCAGTCCAGGAGAAGTCCCTACAACTCAAGGTAAGTTCAGACATTTGACTCTTGTAACCTTCAAATATCTCAACTTATACCGAAGTCATCAAATTCAAGTCACTAAGGCTTTTGGAAGATTATGATATTAATTGAAATATTAAACGGCTATAAATTTAACAGATTGAATGAATTAAACTGTGCTTAAATGGGGTGATTAGTAGTAAATAATTGAATTTAACTTTCGGCAATATTTAAAACATTATAAGATTATTATGTAATGCCATAGTAGACTAAAACTGAGGTCATAATTTTTTTGCTTACAAAGAATTTTTTCATATCTTTATATTTCAAATAGCTTAAAAACTTAGATTTTATTGTTTCACATTAACAAAATCAGTAAGGTCAGAAGGTTAGTTTAAAGAAAAAAAATGAACAAATGAAAAATTTATAAAATACAAAAAAAGATAGTAAAAGAAATGAAGGAAAAAAAAGAAAGAAAAGTAATAATGAAAAAGAAAGAAATAGATATGAAAGAAAGAAAAAATATGAAAGTAAGAAAAAAAAATATATGAAAAAATAAAATTATATGAAAAAAAAAAGTAAATAAAGAAAAAGGACATAATAGGTTGAGATATTGCAGTAAATGTAGTGTGTAGCTCTTCTAATACCTTGTGGTTTGTAGCATGTAATATTGTGTATTGTGTTGGGTCACTGGTGTAACAGAAAATCATCATCACAATTAAAATTAAAAACTGTAAGGTCACATATACTTTTAATTCACAAATTTTTGAGAGAAAAAAGAATTGTTGCCCACTTGCTTTGCATGCTCTAAAAGCCACAAATGTGTAAAAGAAATTAAAAAAAGTTTCTTATTTCAGAATTATAATATGTTCTCCTCTCAGAGGTATTTTTTTTTAGAAGGCACTGTATTGTAGAAGGCACTTTGTTCCAAATCTGTAATTTCCTTGCGGCTATGCATTGTAGTTTTTTTTTTCTAGTGAAGACTATCAGCTATTCTGACATGCCAATTTGAATTAAAACTTTTCTATGGGATTTAAAATTTGTAAACACCTTGGCTCTGATTAAAAGAAACTGCTTACCTAGGTTTTAATAAACCAATAGAAAAATCTGCGGTAAACAGGCCGTGTCATGTCTGACTGGGATAACCGTTTATAAACGTGGCCATTTAACGTGTTATCGGACAGCTGTTTATATATAAAATTAACCGGTACAATCTGGAGGAATTGGCAGATATTAAGTTATACACATCAGATTTTTTGTTTTAATAATGTAAGTATGTATACTATTCAGATTGCTATCCTATGTATAATGTATTAACTCCCTTTGTTTTTCCCCTGTTAACTTCCACTGTCTGTATATCTTTTTGTAGTGCTTTCATTTTCTAACCCTGTATATGTACGTTAAAATCTGGCGGGATTTTACACATAGCAGGTCTTTACACGTCTAATAAATCAATGAAGAACTCTACTTGTTTTTAAATACCTGGCTCTTTAAACTTTTTGATGAGATCACTATAAGGTTATTAAGAACTACTGTGTCAATAATTGCTCTCCTTTAAACAATACTTTACTATGTAGTAATCCCAATACTAACATTCTAAGCTAGAACTTCTACCTGTGCACATCATGTTTTTACCTGTGCTGTTTTAACGGTGACCTCTGATTTTTGCAGGTAAATTTAACTTCTTATTTTTATTTCTTTTTTTTGTACACTTTTCTCTTATTGATAACTTCAGGCTTTTTCATGCAAAGCAAGTCAGCATTCATTTATCTATATGGTTCGTCTGCTGCCTTGGCTAGCTTGTTTGTGTGGCTAAAAAAAGTGTGACCTTTTAAAAATAGAGCAATTAAATGACAATTCCTTTTAAATTTTTACATTGAAATAAACATTAAATTAACAACTCATCCAAATGATAACAAAACATACATTTGTAGCTCTTTCTGACTATATTTATTGTTTTTTTGTATTTGATGTGTGTGGCTATAAGGGGTTGTGTGATTTTATGCTAGTTTTTTGGTATTTGGTTATTGTTTTTATAAATGATGTGGTAACATAATTAACTGCCATTCCTCCCATTGTACCTACAGACTGAGTTGTTCAGAAAGCCCTGCAGATCTACACAGACACCCAACTCATCAGCCAGGTTTGGAAGTCGTCGTAATTTGCTTGGACTTGGTGGATCAGACGACAGTGGTGACGACGATGATGGAGATGACAGCGTATTCAAATGGCCTAGTTCCAGACATGGTCCATCAAGGAGTCACAGTCGACAGTCATTAAATCATAGTCGACAGTCACTTAATCATAGTAGACAGTCACTAAATCAAAGCAGACACTCACAGAAAAGAGGCCCAAGTAGTAGTCATCATCGTACATTTTCTCCAAATCCTAGATCCAGGTCTCGCAACAGTCGACATAACCAATCTAACGATGATTTGAAGAAAGGTGCCGCTGCAGCTCTTGAGTCGGAAAGCGAGGAATCTGGATATGGTGAAACTTACTATACCATGCACGCGTCGAGTTTTGACAATGTACTAGAAACCGAAACAATTGACACAATGAGAGGCACACCACTTGGATTAGATATGACTCGTTATTCCGATAACGATTCAACCGTTAGTTACATAACTGGAGAATTCCCTCAGGCCAATCCTGAGGATCTCCGTAATACTATGACACAGACACCAGGTCATGCTAGAACCCAGACTGAACCAGACATGAATGATTCACCAAGAACAATACATACACAGACAAGTGGACTAGCTAGAAATATGTCCATGCAGACATCTCGCATGTCCATTGCATCAGGAAGGTCCACTGGATCTCGTGGATCTCGTGCTGATTTATTACGTAGTATTCTGATGGATGTTAAAGAAATAAAACAACAGAGAGGTTTAAATGATAGTCCAGGATTATCAGAGGATTCAATGATATCTAATACATCGGTCAAGAAAAACATGCTGCAAACAATTCAGTCTGATGTTCAAGCTCTTAAAAATGAGGGCAGACAAGGAACTGCTGGAACACAGACTATTTCTGAACAAGGAACTCAAACTGGAATAAAATTGTTCCCAGAAGGTGACTCTGTCCGTAACTCTCGTCATGGACGTCTCCGTGACTTAATGGATGACGTTAAGAACTTAAAGGGAGGTAGCCCTGATAGTCCAAATGACTTGAGATCTAGGCAGAGTTCTCGTACTGGTACACCATATGAAAGGCGACCTTTGTCAAGTGTACAAAATCGACCATCCCCCGTTCGATTTTCTACACCTGGACCAGCCGCCAATGGACCAGTACAGAACGGTGTACCTGAACAAAATGGATATGACTATCCACAACAACCATACATGAGATCATTACCTGTGCCACCCAATCCTCAGCCACAGATGAATGGATATCCTCAGTATCCAGGCAGGATGGTGACACAGGATGACATAAATGCCATCAGTGATAGAATACAACGATTACAAAACTACCAGCTACCACCGCGGCGTACACTGCCACAACCTCCCCCTCAGCCACCTCAGTATATTGTACCAGTGTATACAGCCCCTCCACGACGTGTACGTATCAACGAATTTCCTCAAACATATAATGATGAAGATGGATTTATGTCCGATGAAAGTGAATATGAAGGTGGTCACGCCCCTAGGAGGGGGAGAAGGCGTCGTAATCGCCTAGATCATTTAGATATCGAAGATGCCTTAGACGAAGCTGTCAAACAGGGTCGTCAGCTGAAAAATATGTCCAAGAAGATGAAAGATTCTTTGAGAGAGGATCTTTTAGATTTATAGATATTTTATTTATTTATTATCGTCTGTGATTTAGGATTTTTAAGCCGACTGTGATATTGAAATATTTGTACGCAAGGTGTAAATGTGTATGTTGTGATGATATTTGACTTTTCTCCTATATGAATTGTGCAGAGATGTGCGAAATTACAAGCCTTTATATGTGTGTAAATGTGTGTAAACATTGACATTTTAAAACTGAATTGGTAATTCATGGAGGTGCTTTAGAAATTCTAAATGGATCACTTAGAAGTTTTTAAATGAATATTTTACCTCTTCTCATTATTCATTTTCCATTGATATTCTTGTTATTGAATGGAATTTTATTGACTTTCAAACAAACCAATTTAAATATAGAGCTAATCTGCTATTTTAAATTTTTATTTTACTTGGCTCTGTTTCATATGAATTTGTATAACATATTTTCTGATCGGTATGGAAAAGCAAGATAAGATTTATCCTGAATTTGATAATGTCAATATCATAACAAACATACAGATTTTTAAATCCAGGGTTTATATATTTGCATTTATTAATGTTTGTCTCGACTTGTGATTTTTTATTTGGAATTTTTATAGTAAACGTTAAGCGTTATTTATCTTCATATTTCTCTTGTATGACTAGATTTGCACATCCACTAAAAGACAATCTAAAAGATATATAGAATCTTGCCTAGAGACCATCTGACCAATACTCATCCAGGGATTTTTCATTGATATATGATCATATATAAAAAAAAACCAAACAAACATCAAAATTAGTTTGTATCTGGAATTTAAATTCTATATCTGAAAGCTATGGATAAATATACAAATGAAAATTATTGTATTTGCAACCAATGCATTCTTAAATGTTCAAATCACCTAATTTATTTGCAAAATTTAATCTAGGATTTATTTTTGCAATATTCTTATAAAATGAGGCAATGGGTCAACCGGCATCAAAGGAAATAATGTATTTGATTTTTTTTCTGATCATTTAATTGGTATCACCTATACAAAAATTATCTTGCAAGCTATTGTTGGCAAAAGACTGTATTACATATTTCATTGAAAAGTGTTTGATCTGACTTGAATTGCATTGAAATATCTTTGAAAAATCCCTGAAACATTGATGATCTCAAAAAGAAAACTTTCAAGATTTTAGGTTCATAAAGCATCAGCGTATAGGATCAATGAAATCTACCGGGTTTGTGAGAGAGCGATAAAAACGTGTATTGATTGGTTTGTGTTAGTTGTTGAGAGAAGTGGAGTGCAAATATTAACAGTATTGATTGTGAAATATGAAATTGCATTTAATTTTTATATCAATCAATATTATCATTTTTTTTTTCTATGTTTTTTTTACATATTTTTGTGATAAGAAAAATTTATATGTTGCTTTTGCAAGAAATTTTCCATTCACTTACATTTAAGTCGTAACTTGATAATAGGATAGATTAGTTCAAAATAAAATAAACTGGAATTATATAGGAGCTAGGGTTAGAACTAGAATTCTGTCCATTTGTTGTACTATTAAGAAAACTTTATGAATATTCAATAATTTTTCAGTATTTCTTGTCATTTTATGATAAAATCAAACTGGAAAATCCTGCACTAGCAGGATGTAAATTTAATTAGTTAACTCATGGTGGTTAAAAGCACTATTTTGTGTGATTGTTGGGATACATTCACTTTCTTTTGAAGTAAAATGAGAAAAATCTTATTTTTTGTGTCCTTCAGTTAGTGTCTAATGTGTACCTTACATCTCCTTTTATTCACTTTCACACAAAAAAATTATTTCGACGATGAAGTAATTTTATGGAAGGATGTTTATCAATCACCTTAGTTTTTTAACAGTGAAACAGTGGCAGGATTTTCCAATTTGTTTTTAAATTGTCAGCTCAAAAGAGGACCAAGTCTCCATTTTTAACATTTTTCTAAATGTTAATTATTGAACACTCTGCTATAGTTCTAAGATTTTGCTTTGAACACTAAATGTATCTATTTATTTTCTTGTTAACTGTATTATTTGAATATTTTTTGTAGATAATATATTTAATTAACACAACTACACATTCCATCCAAATTGAATTTTTCTACAAATTTCTTATATTTTTTATCTGTGATAATGTAAGATTGAAGATCTGATATGGTTTTACAGGGAAAGCTTTATATATGAGATGAAGCATTTATATGTGTTATTTTCTTGTCTTGATATATATATATATATTTAACTTTTTTCAATTTCTTTTTATACTTTTTTAATGTTTTAAAAGTTTATTCCGTCCAAATTTAATTCCTCATGTTAGGCATTAGAGATGCAGTTATATATAGTAACAAGTAGAGCATGTGATATCAAAATCATGTGATCAGTGATTTTTAGTAAAAAGTCACATGATTAATTTTAGTTAATGACTGCAACTAGCAGACAAGCATTTATATTGTTATGAAAATAAATTATTTATTATATACTTGTATATTTTCTGCCAAAACAAGGAAACACATTAAAAGTTTCAAATATGAGCATTAATTAAATTTCACTGTTACACACAGGAGAGAATGAAAGTATTTTTCTGAAAAACAGTCTCATATAAAAAAAAATTCGTAAGGGTTCCGCGGAACCCAGTGTCTCGCCTACTTTTGGTGTTAATCGCAGGCTCAACAAAAATGAGGAAAAAAATTAATAAAATTATTCCCCTCTATACTATGTTTTGATTGTAAGTAGCTTCTGTCCAAGTTTGGTAAAAATCCAGGATAATTTATGAATCTAATAAATGTTTTAAAAACTTAAACTGCAGAATGTATGTAATGTTGACTGGAAGAAAAACTAAGTCCATTTATAAGTAAAATACAGAAAAAATGGAACAAAATTTTATCAAAATTTCCTTCTAGATACTAGCTTTTGATCATAAACAAGCTTCTGTCCAAGTGTGGTACAAATCCAGGATAGTTTAAGAAAGTTGTTAAAATTTTAAAAACTTTAACCACAGAGTGAATGTAATGTTAACTGGCAGAAAAACTAAGTCCATTTATAAGTAAAATACGGAAAAATGGATTTTTTTTTTTACAAAATTTACTTCTGGATACTATCTTATGATCATAAACAAGCTTCTTTCCAAGTTTGGTATAAATCCAGGATAGTTTAAGAAAGTTATTAAAATTTCAAAAACTTTAACCACAGAGTGAATGTAATGTTTCCTGGCAGAAAAACTTAAGTCCATTTATAAGTAAAATACGGAAAAATGGATTTTTTTTTTTACAAAATTTACTTCTGAATATAATCTTATGATCATAAACAAGCTTCTGTCCAAGTTTGGTAGAAATCCAGGATAGTTTAAGAAAGTTATTAAAATTTCAAAAACTTTAACCACAGAGTGAATATTTGTGGACGCCGCCGCCGCCGACGACGACGCCGACGGAATGTAGGATCGCTATGTCTCGCTTTTTCGACAAAAGTCGAAGGCTCGACAAAAACCATCTAGAATCTATATGCATTCTGTATTTGTGGTGATGTGCAGATTAGAAATTAAAAAAAAAGATTAAGAACAGAAACTCAACACAACATGGAACAAAACTAAGTAAACAGGGTCTTCTGTACATAAAAACAATATAGGGTAAACAGAAAAGAGACAGCAACCCAACTTGTAGTTAGCTAAAATGGAGATCTTGAATAATTCAATAATGGAACGAGTAAACAAATAAGTTGCTGCTTGATTTCAATATCTTTTCTGAGAGTAACTGCATCTAAACAGAACTGTAGCTCAATAAATACCAGTCTTTTGAAGAAGAATAAAAGTAAGTTCTGACAGCTAGTTCCTATAGAGATCTGTAGTTATACACAGAGAGCCATTTTGTTTTCTTTTTCAAATTTGGAAGGTGTGTTGATAAGCCCAAAAACAGTTGGTAAATATCAACCAATGAAAACTAGTAAGTGACTTCAAAAATCAACAAACATGCATTTTCACAAAATAATTATTTAAGTTTTCCCATATTTTCATACATTAGAACATCAGGAAATGTTCTATAAACTAAAAAAAGGGCGATATTGTGTATACTTTAATGAAGCAGCATCCCACCAACAAAATTAAATCGGAAGGCATCTAGATATCAACAGAAGGTACCATATGTCTGTGGTTGCCATGGTTTTCCGCCTTAATTCCATTCATCTATTATTACCCCATGCTCATTCCAAAACTAACTATGGAAACATACACTTTATATCTGAAGTAAAAGTTATAGTAGCTTAAAATTCACCAATATCTACATAAATTTGCTTAATGTACCATCATATTCAAGTTAACCTAGTTCACTGTCTGCTGCTAAAATGGAAAAAGAGGGAAATAAGAATACCAGTCCATTAATCTTTTAACATATTTTCTTGCAAGTGGTCAGTTCTCTTTATGTTATTACAGAGGTGATGGGAGACAATGGTCAGATTATTTTTCTAATGATATTCAATGCACCAGATTTCTATTGGAGCCTTTTTTATTTCTACATATATAATGTTTCTCAACTGCTTCTGTAACAATCTGAATAGAACTGTCATCTTGTAAGAGAATAGGTGTACAGATGAGCAAGGAGGTTGTATAGTGACTATTGATCTTCATCAAGACATCTTCTTGGTTCCCTGACTTTTCTTCCTTAAGAAAATGCATCAAATAGTGTAACAGTTTAGTAAAATTTCGCATTTAAAAGGCAAAAATTATGCACAATGGATTGGTCCAAGAATTCAATTTAAAAGTAGAAGGAAAAGAAGCATTAGGATATGTTTTATATATGTATAAGGTTCTTTCAAAAGTGCATGTCAGAATAGCAAGATAGAGTCAATAGTGCTCATGGAAGTTGTCTGCCTTTATAAATCAATTTATAGTAATGGCAGCCATTTTGGTTTGTTTGCTGGATCCTCAGAAATGAATAAGAGTATTGGATGAATATGCTTACGGCAATGGAAAGTAATACTGTGGATTCATTTATTTTTTCGTTGGTACCAATTTTCGTGGATTAAGGAAAAGTTGTATTTTCGTGTATATTTGATTACCTGCTTTTACAAAAGTCTGCGTATAAGGCTATAGAAATTTGTACTTCCTTGAACATTTATATTCATGGTTCACCTGTAACGATCAAATCCACGAAAATTGGTATCCACGAATAATAATGAATCCACAGTATAGGTAACAGTTAAATAAAACAAACAGTTATGATATACCTGATAAGTACCATGCACCAAGGAAATAGATGTTTCTATTGAAGCCTTAAAAATAGTTCCAAGGCTTAGTTCAAAGGAATTGGATGCTTGCTGTTATAATAAGGAGTATGTGTTTCACAGGTAAGTTTTCCTTTCAAACAAGGTCAGTACCATGTTATGATTTTGTTGTTATTAAACCTGGAGGAACACAGTGCCTTCTTAACCTTGAATTTTTTGCAAATAAAAAACCTTCAAAGAACTCCAGAATTTGTTGTTTTCATGTTTTGTAACAAAGTGCCTTCTACAAGTTTAACTGGTGCCAAAAATAAAGCATGTGCCATTTACAAGGAAAAAAGTGTAAACTGTCAAGTATGTTTGTCAATGGGGTAATACAAATTTGTATGACTTTTGGAGAAGCCAGAAGGACTACAAGTATTTGTCAAGTATGGAGTAAATATTTGCAATACAAGTATTTATCAAGTATGGAGTAAATACTGGCAATTATTCAAAAACCATACAGTAGTCCTTCTATTATTTGTTATTTGGGCTTACTTGTGTACTGTGAAAATTTTACGATTGGAACACCATGTACCATTTTGTGGCTACTGTGGTTTGTCAAAATCATGATCTGCACACCAGTAAAGCTATCTATAGCACACTATTAGTATAAAATATTTTTAATTCTGTTTTAAAGTCTGGACAAAAATATTGAAAAAACCATGACTCAGCATTTTTTACACAGATTTTATACACAAAAGTTCTGCCAAGGAATGAAAAGAATTTTTTAAAAATCTGCATGTCTTTAAAATTTTCAACTTTCCTATTGTCAAATTATAATTCTTTTATATTTGCTTGTAATGAATTTAAAATTAGGTGAAATTTTATTACACAAGGAAGCATGGAATATTAATTACATCTGATTAAACCCAGTGGTATTTAAAAATCTTTGTTAAACATCTGAATGTGATAAAATGTTTTGACTTCTGTATTGTTAAATGACATCAATACCCTTTATATCTGATTGTTTGATAGGCAATATCAAATTATTGTTGGGTGTGAATAAAAGACACTTAACGGCAGATTAACCAGGTCTTTAAACCATTAAAATTCTCCTTTAAATAGATATTTCATATTGAAGTAGGTAATAAAAATGTTTTAATTCTGTTACAGGGCTATAAATGGCTAATACAAGACTTTTTTATCTGTTTCAAATCGGTCCTAAATTCAGGTTTCAATGTCAGAACCTTATTTGGTTTCTAAATTAAATTTAATTCTAACAAATTTCCTGATTTTGCACTTTTTATATAAATTTTATCAGAATTTGTTTCAATCAGAAGTTTAATAGGGTGAATATAAATATTCACATGTTAAGCAGGTCAAATATGAATAAATTAAAATCATCTTTCATAGGACAAATATGAATGAATATATTTTTAGCAGGTCAAATATGAATGAATAGATACATGATTACCAGTAGCTGGCCATGTATGAATAAATACAAATTTATCAGGCCCAAAATAATAAGTATATATTTAGAAGCCCAATATGAACACATACATATCTATCAGGCCCATTATGGATAAATGTATGTTTAGCAGGCCCAATATGAATACATGCATGTACAGTAGTCCCAATATGAATAAATACATGTTGAGCAGGTCCAGTATGAATTAATGCATGTTAAGTAGGTACAGTATGAATACATACATGTTGAGCAGGTCCAGTATGAATTAATGAATGTTGAATAGACCCAATATGAATAAATATATCTTCAACAGTCCAGATATGTATAGATACATGGGGAGCTACAATCAAAAGAGTAGTCAAGACTTTTGGTTTAACTTTAAAGTTTGAACCTTAGTTTTTATAAAATTTACAATTGTAACATCTGAGGATTTATCAATATATCTTTACCTAATAATTCATGAGACTGTCCATACACTAACCATTGATTGGATGATACTCTGAGATTAACGTAGAAAATATTGATTCAAAGAAAAATTCAGAGAGAAAGAATGTCCAACAACGTTTATATCCTTGCCCTTTGATATTGTAAGGAGAGTTGTCTCATTGGCAATCATTCCACATCTCCTTATATTTATATTACATGTGCTTATACAGATAAAAAAATTACAAATTGATCCTTTAATTTAAAGGAATTATTTGAATCTGGAATAATTTTGAATTCTGGAAAATTGATTAGAAATGTATGATGAAAACTAACCCAACTAAATAGGGTTAGCCATGCATGCATGGCTAAGGTTAATTTTACTTTTACTGATAT